CCTACTCTTGGATAATAACCTTTTTGTTGTTATTTGAAACAGGGTCTCATGTAGTCCAGGTTGGCCTCAAACTCACTACTATATCCAAGGATGACCCTGAACTCCTGATCTCCTGCCTCTACCTCCTGAGTACTAGGATTACAGGGATGTACTAATAGTAGATGCTCAGATTAAACAGTGCTGAGGCTCAAACCCAGGACCTCATGCATGCTAAGCTAGCATTCAACCAAATGAGCTACAGTCCCAGAACTTCTTGTATACTGTCAGAAGATATACCAGGTACATTTCAGTGAAAATGAAGCTATCTCTAACCTATAAATACACTCTTTTCGACCCAAACTGTGGGATCTACCAGTCTTACTCCTGCCCAGGACCACTCTTCTGTCAGATAGTCCCCCAACAAATTACATTCTGTACAATCTAAAATTGTTTGCCTCTCTTTCTTTGGTCTCACAACACTTTGGGGTCAGTCCTCATGCACTTGGACCAAGTTCCAAAAGAGCATATAATTATTCTATGTACTATTATTCTATATACTATGTCCAGTATAGTCAACAAAAATTACCAGGTATGGGGCTGGAGAGATGGCTCAGGGATTAAGAGCACTGGCTCCTCTTGCAGAGGACCTAGGTTCAGTTCCCAGCACCTATATGGTAGCTAACAACTGTCTAACTCCAGTTCCAGGAGATCTGATGCCCTGTCCTGGCCTCCACGGGCATTACGTGCATGTAGTGCACTTACATACATGCAGGCAGAACACTCATACACACAAAAATAAATAATAAATATTTTTAAATTAACAGATATTTCAAGAGACAAGGCAAAAATGAGCAAAAATTAAGAGAGAAAAACAGAACAACAGAAACCAAATCCCTGGTGGTCCAGAAATATGTTAAAAAATAATAATAATCTGGCATGATGGCATACACTTTTAATCCTAGCATTCAAGAAACAGAGGCAGGTGGATCTCTGAGTTGAAGACCAGCCTGGTCTACATAATAAGTTTCAAGCCAGCCAAAGTTATACGGAGGACAAGGAGAACGAGGAGGATGAGGAGGAGGAGGAGGAAGAGGAAGAGGAGGATAGAGACAAGGCCTATGCTAATAGGGGTGTTAATGGGGAGGGGTTGTTTGTTTTTGTTTTTCAGACAAGGTCTCACTATGTAGCTCTGGCTGACCTAGAACTCATCACATAAACCAGGCTGGCCTCAAACTCAGAGATCCACCCACCCCTGCCTCCCAAGTGCTGGAATTAAAGGTGTGCACCACCACACCTGGCTATTAAACAAATATACCACAGCTGAATTAAGTTTTCTTGTTCCCAGTCCAACCATTTCATGCACTGTTTTATTACTCATTTGGGGGGGACTAGTTTTCATGCCCAAATAGAAAGTTAAAATCCTCTAAGCTGTATAAAGTGCTCTAGCAATTTTGGTTCAAGGCTCCTGAGCTAGCTTTAGAGCAAAATTAGAAATAATTATTTTTAGGTAAAAAATCTCAACATGCTCCCAAAACAAATAATTTTATCATATTTTGGTGCTAAATTTACAATTCTTTTTAAAAATTTCAGAATCAAAGCCCTGATGTCAGCAAACAGCCTCTCATTAATCGGAGCTCTCTTGATGGGGGTTTCTAAATTCGGACCATCTCACATCCTCATCATCGCAGGAAGAAGCATTTCCGGACTGTACTGTGGTAAGTGACACACATACACATCACTCTGAAAATTATTTTAGGTAGATTTTTTTGAGCCTAATGTGGCATCACACAAGGAAAGCAGCAGGGTAAAGTGGAAGTCCTCAGTTGGGATTTGGGCCCTGTGTGAATTGCAATGTCTTCTGTGTCCTGCCCACTTCAATAACATCACTGCCAGTTGCTTGATCTCAGACAAATTATTTAACTGATTCTAGCTTTCTTCATCTATGAAATGAAGAGGATAATGGCATCTACCTACAGAGTGAATATGAGAACACACGTAAAATGTCCATCATGTAGACAGCAAGTGCATGGGAAAGCTAGCTGTTGTCACTACTGTGGTGCAACAGGCATTTGCTACCTTCAGACCCTAACCCTACTGTGATGGCCTATGCCGTGGGTGTCTCTGTCTTTATTGCCGAGATCTGGTCTCCTGGATGCATCTCCTAGACCATACTCCCTAGCCTTATTTGATTCCAGACTTGGCTGCCTAGAGCAGTAAATCTGTGGTGTCCACAGGAAGAGGCAATTGGACAGAAGCATCTGTTGGAAGCGTTCTTCTTCCCTTCAACTTAGTATCTAAGGAGTGGGAAACTCTAGTTCTTGGAGACAGGGCTTTAAACTTTCAAGGGCAGGGAACTGAACAAGAATATTCAGTCTCTAAACAAATAGACAGAAGGGGCTGGACAGATGGCTCAGCAGTTAAGAGCACTGGATGCTCTTGCAGAGGACCTGGGTTCAATTCCCAGCCCTTACATGGCAGCAAACAACCATCCATAACTCCAGTTCTGGAGGATCTGACACCCTCTTCTGTCCTCCATGTGCATTGCATGGCATGGGTGTACTAACATACATGCAGACATAACACATACACATAAAACAAAACTTAATAAATAAAATCTTTTGAAAAATGAGATGAATAAATACTAAACTCAGTGCTGAGTCCTTGATTCTGATGGCTCTTCCCTGACATTTTAATGTATATTTTAAAATTGGAGTTGCCCTTCAAGGTACTAATATCCACAGAGGGAGAGAAGAAATGATAATGTGTGTACACCCTGTCTGTGTTGTTACTTCTAAGACGTTTACTTGCAAAAAAAGGGGGGGGCAATAATTCTGTGTTTCTGATGATCAGTTGAGAGATAAAACATCTGACTTCATTAAATATCTCTTTTCATTATTTCCAATCTTAATGTGAATACCTGAAGGTCAGGGTGGCTTTAAGGAGAAAAGTCACATGAGGGACACACTGTGGATTAAGAGAGAATGAGTTCTGATAGATCTCTACCTAGTCTCAGACACGGCTGTTAAGTCTCAGCCTGAGTTCCTGCTTTGTAAAGTAGAGGATTGCACTATGAAAAAGCTCCAAACCCTGGTACGTTCTGCATTTCTCTCTTTAAAAATTTCAGTATGGAAAAAGATGACTTTTTTTTGTCAAACTTGACAACAAATACTGTGAATATATTATGGAGGGACCTAACATTGCTGAGTGGCCTCTGCTGCCATTTAAAATACTGTGACTATATTATGGAGGGACCTAACATTGCTGAGTGGCCTCTGCTGCCATTTAAAATTATCTGCACTCTAATGAGTATTAAAGATGCTGAAAATTACAAGAAATATCATTTGAATTCATGTTATTCTGTTCTTTCTTTTTTTGTTTTATGTGTATAAGTGTTTTTGTAAGTGCACTATCTGTGTGCAAACCCTCAGAGGCCAGAAGAGGGCATTGGATCCCTGGAACTGAGTTACAGACAGGTGTTAGCTACCATGTGGGTGCTGAGAACTAAACCTGGGACCTCTGCAAGAGCAGCCAGTACTCTCAACTGCTCTGCTGAACCATCTCTCCAGCTCCCTGCCATTCTGTACCTGAATCTATTAACTATTACAGAAAAGGCCAAATAGGTATTTTCTTGACTAGGGTCAGGCTCCATAGGTCACATGTTAGAGTCACATGTAAAACTCCACAGACGTACAGATGCCATATCAGCCATGTAAATGTTCATTTGAGGCATTTAAAACAATTTGAAGTATTAAATTATATATCTTGAAAACAGTTACCCAAGTATCTTTTGCATAAAGCCCATCTACTTTCATTTGATAGCTGGATACTCCTAAGGAGAGGCCCACAGGAAGTCTTAAGAAAACACCAAATGCTATAATCAGCAAATGGCTGGCTGCACCACCATTTCCAACCTACCTGATTACTTACGTTTAAGAAAACCACAAAGGGGCTGGAAAGATGGCTCAGTGCCTAACAGAGCTTGCTGCTAAGAATTCACATCAGACGGCTCATAAGCACCTGTCTCCAGCTTCAAGGGAATCTGATGTCCTCTTCTGGCTTCTGCAGTCACCCCTGCACACCATATACCACACATCACACACCACACCACACACCACACACACACACACACCACCACCACCACCACCACTACACACAACACACACTCAAAAAAGAAGAAAGAAAGAAAGAAAGAAAGAAAGAAAGAAAGAAAGAAAGAAAGAAAGAAAGAAAGAAAGAAAGAACTGCAGAGGGGCTGGCAAGATGGTTCAGCAGTTAAGAGCACTTGCTGCTCTTGCAGAGGACCTGGGCTTGGTTCCCAGCACCTTCATGAAGGCTCACAGCTGCCTGTAACTCCATTTTCTTCTGGCTTTTGCAGGTATCAGGCACACATGTGGTGCATATGCATGCACACAGGTAAAATACCCATATACATAAAACAAAAACAAATAAATCTTAGAAAGGAAGAAAGGAATGAAGGAAGGAACGAAGGAAGGAAAAGAAAAGAAAGAAAGCTATAGAAAGGGTCATCAAGATGGCTCAGTGGGTAAAGGCACTTGCCACCAAGCCTGATGAACTGAGTTCAATCTCCAGGTCCCACATGGTAGCAGGAGAGAACTGACTCCCTCCGGCAAGTTGTCCTCTGACTTCCACATGTGCACATTTGTACACACACACACACACACACACACACATAATGAATGAATAAATAGATAGATGATAGATAGGTAGATGATAGATGGATAATAGATAGTAGATAGATGATAGATGATAGACAGATGATAGATGATAGATAGATAGATAGATATAGAGTAGTTTGCATAGTCTTATAGTCTATAAGGTGTTCTAACAGATAGATAGATAGATAGATAGATAGATGATAGAGAAAATAGAATGGCCCAGTGCTTTTCAATTTTTGTGTTTCTTTAAGTCTTTTTCAAATAAAATCTTTCCTGAAGTCCAATATTTGGATGGAATAAAGAACTAGGTTGCTCTGATTGGGGCCACTGTGGGAAGAGTCCTTGAGTTCCTCAACCTTTTCCCCTTTCTGTACCCGACTACACCACAAGAGGGATCTTGAGCTATTCCCTGGGTGTGGAGCTTGTGTGCTAATGCTCTATAGCCTGTGATCCTGGGCAAGTCAGTTCTCACCTCTACCGAGAGGATGACTTTTGTTGACGATTCTAGCTTCCTTTAATCCCATCAGTCTGGCTTAGCACTAAAACATTCTCTAGTCTCTTTTCTCAAGACAACCTGAGGCATTATGATATAAACCAAACAATAACATAGAGGCTTTTATTAACTAAAACAACACCATGAAAATTGTCAAATCCATAACTACGCATTTTTTTTTTCTGTTAACATTTCCAACCTCACCTTCATTTAGGATTTGATCAGCCAAGGTTTTCTGCATAGACTGTCTATGGCTGGAGACAAAAGGCTTTTCCAAGGACCCAGAAGGGACTTTCAGTAAAGACTCTTTAAACCAAATCATTGTTGAGATGTTCTAGGCTGCACTTTAACATGTCCATGTTCATGTTTCATGCAGGGCTAATTTCAGGGCTTGTTCCAATGTACATTGGTGAAATCGCTCCAACCACACTCAGGGGTGCTCTGGGCACGCTTCACCAACTGGCCATTGTTACGGGAATTCTTATCAGTCAGGTAAAATGTCCTCATCCTCTCTTTGACCACCTTCTACTTTGTCTACCACCACCATGGGAGCGGGGAGGAGTGGTAGGAGAGGTGGTTAAAAACTTGACTTTTTAGCTCAAAGGTAAATTATTATCACTCCTCACTTTTCTCCTTGGGGTCGTTGGTGGGATTAGCACTATATGTAAAAAAATTCCAATATTATTGAAGAATTTACATTTAGATTTCAAGGAATAGCCAACTTCATTTTTTTAAACCAGCATTTGAGTTTACTGAATTTTTATCAGCACCACAATATTTAAATGATCACACTGGACGTGACACAATATTCCTATATTTAGTTGGCATTTCTTCTGTAACTAAAACATTTGATTTATAACTCATTTTTGCTACCAGCAAAGCACAGTATGAAAACTTTAAACCACAATGTCATCCAATTTCATACACTCAATCTCTAAATAATCATGCCAACTTCAAATTTTTGACTGCCTGAATTTTCTTTGTGTTGAACATGCTTCCCAGAACTCTTAATGCTCAGATAATTAAAACAGAACTGTTCAGCTAGCTGTATCTCTCCCTTCTACCCTCTGTTCTCAAAAGGATCTTTGGGACCTAGAAGGAAAGCTATAACCATTGCCACAGGGATCATAAAGCTGATTCTTATCATGTGATTGTTCTATCTGTGAATTCCCATTTATGAAACCTCAAAATATTTAAGTTCTGAATGTAAGAAGGAATTTGAAAGCAAAGTCCCAAGGTTATATGTATGTGTATGTGCATACATGTGTGTGTGTGTGTGTGTGTGTGTGTGTGTGTGTGTTATACATATGCATGTGGAAGCCAGAGATCAATATCAGGTGTTTTCCTCTATTGGTCTCCACCTTATTTTTGAGACAGGCTCTCTCACCGACCCTGAAACCTGCTGTTTCAGCTAGACTGGCTGACCAGCGAGCTCCAGGGATCTGCTTGTCTGTGCATTCCTCCAGGGCTAGGATTAGAGACTCACACGGCCATGTCCAGCTCTTTTAGGCATAATTCTAACATAACACGATATAATTCCATCTGGTTGCCTGCAGAGAACAACCACATGCTTTCCTTTAGATACCAAATGTGCTTTTAAAAGTTGAGTCGATCTCCATCCTAAATGTCCAATTAGAGTGCATGAAAACAGATAGATTCTTTCTCAACAAATTGTCCTTGATTTGGTTACAGTGGAATGCACTAGTAACAGTCTCTCCCCTGTGCTAACGCGAACTAACATTGTTAAGGATTGCTATTGAAGAACCAATGTGTTTTTCCATAAATTAGTACAGAAGGCAGGCCCAAAGTGCAGCACAGCTGACATCTCCCCCTTCTCCTTTCAGATTGCTGGCCTCAGCTTTATTCTGGGCAATCAGGATCGATGGCATATCCTACTTGCCCTGTCTGCTGTGCCAGCCCTCCTCCAGTGCCTGCTCCTGCTCTTCTGTCCAGAAAGCCCCAGATACCTTTACATTAAGTTGGAAGAGGAAGTGAAAGCGAAGAAAAGTAAGTCTGTAGGTGATTTTTCTTTCTCTCTGTTATTTCGTGATTATCAGCTAATGTAGAACCAGTATGTATGAATGACTGCTCACAAAATTAAGATCATGACCTTTTAAATGAAGCCAATGATTGTATGGAAGAAGAGCGAACAAAAGCACTCAGATGTGACCGTTGCATTGCACTCACATCCACCAGTACTGCATTCCATTACCCAAACCAGGAGCTCACATGTAGGCAGTTGGACTCAACCAGAGGCTTCTGAAAGGCGCCTCCAAGCACTGTGTCTCTGTGATGGCAAGGAGCATGATTTTCTCTCTCTTGAGATGAAACCAGATGTTTTGCTTTTCTTTTCTTTTTTAAAAATCAAAGAACGAGGGTTGGAGAAACGGCTCAGAGGTTAAGAGCACTGGCTGTTCCTACAGTGGCCCTGGGTTTCATTCCCAGCACTCACATGGCACTAACAACTGTCCATAACTACAGATCCAGGGAATCCAACACCCTCTCTGACCTCCCTAGGCACTGCACAACAGTGTATACTCATACACATACAAAAAAGAAAATACTTTTTAAAATTAAAGAAGAGGCTATAACTCCCACCCCACCCCCGCAAAAAAGACCCAGCACCTATGCTGTTGTGTAACAGAGAGGGACATGTAGAAACTATGGCTCTGTCATGAACATAATAAAAATAAATTTTTCTGTGTGATCTGAGTTATTTCAACCTGTTTGCGGGACAGGCTTGAGGAGACTGAGAGGAACTGAGGACATCACCAAAGACATTAATGAAATGAAGAAGGAAAAGGAAGAGGCCTCGAGGGAGCAGAAAGTCTCCGTGATTCAGCTCTTCACCGATCCCAGCTATCGACAGCCCATCATCGTGTCACTAATGCTGCACTTGGCTCAGCAGTTTTCCGGAATCAACGGGGTAAGTTTAAGAACAACTCCTGGGGCTGGAGAGATGGTTCATCAGTTAAGAGCACTTGCTGCTTTTGTAGATGACCCAGGTTCAGTTCCCAGCACCCACGTGGTGACTCACAACCATATGTAACTCCAGTTCAAGGGGATCCAACACCCTCTTCTGGCCTTGGCAGGCACCATGCATACACATATGGTGCACATATGTATATGCAGACAAATCCTCATACACATGAAACAACAACAAAAAAAGAGAATAGCTTCTAACTTGAAGCAAGCAAAGGGAATCAAAAGAAAGGGAAAAGGGAATAAGTTTAAGTGACTAAAAAACATTTGAAAACATTGACATCAAGCATTATTATAATGATATATATTATATTCAGTGATAATTAATTCTTCAATGACTCTCTAAAATTACCTCAACTTTTTGACAAATGTCAACAATCAATAGTATTTAGGTCTATTAGGAAGTAGGTAATGGGGCTGGGAGATGGCTCAGTCAGTAAAGTGCTTACCTTTGCAAACATGAGGGCCTGAGCTCAGATCCCCAACATCCACACAAAAAGCAGGGTGTGGCTGTATGCATCTGCAAGCACTTGGGTTGGCGGGAAGAAGGTAAATGAATCCCTGGGGCTTATTAGCCAGCTAGCCTAGCCAATTGGTGAGCTCCAGGTTCAGTGAGAGACCCTGTCTCAAAAAAAGAACATAGAGGGATCTGAAGAGATGGCTAGCAGTTAAGAATACTGACTGTTCTTGCAAAAGATCTGGGTTTGGTTCCTAACACCCACATGGCACCTAACAACCATCTATAACTCCAGTTCCAGGAGATCTGACACCCTCTTCTGGCTTCTTCAAATATTGCACACAAGGGTGCACTTACATACTTGCAGTCAAAACACTCCTACACATAAAATAAAAATAAATAAATCTTTAAAAAGAAACATAAAAAATATATGGTAAAGAGCCATTGAGGAAAATATCAACATCAACCTCTGGCAAGTTCAAATTGCACACAAGAACAAACTTGAACATGTGCACATGCATGCATCAGATAGAGAGAGAGAGAGACAGAGAGAGAGAGAGAGACAGAGACAGAGACAGAGAGAGAAAGTGAATGCAGGACGAGGAAAGGAAACTATATTGCTTCCAAACCAAAATCCTAAATTACAAGATGCTTTTAAAGCTGAGTATGAAATTTAGGATTTCTAATAAACTAGGTAAAAGGGAGCCCACAGTTCTATTTATTTATTTAAATGAAATATAGGAGCTAGCTAGAAGCACAGAATAGTTTCTTGCCAACAAGAAAATTTCACTGTATTTGGAAGAATAATAAACAAATAAATAATATAAATGAATTGGTATGCTGTTGGTGAATGAGGGTACCAGGGAAGACAGGCTTAATAAACATGCTGGCATGTTTAGGTTCCAAACTGAAATCCTTACATCATTCAGACTAACAATTCTACTGGCAATTAGCTACCACTAGAAAACATTGGGCGTTTGCTAAAAATCTAGATTTAAAAACCACCTTTTGCTGCATTTAAAATACAGAATGTATATTGATATAATGAGCCAATCCTAGATCTGCAAGGGACACTTTGGGGGTGACTGGTGGATAGGCAGAGCCTTTGAAGAGACAAAGAAAGTCATTCTTATCCATTGAAGCAAAAAGAAATCCAAGGGAAACACCCACAAACCAGATACTGTTCTGCTGTGATCTCTGTTCTTCAAGGCGCCCTTAACACAGAACTTCGAGATTCACAAAATTCAGCTCTGCCTATATATTCTGTGGTGCAATACTTAATTCCCCTGAAATCTGGTTTCGGCCTCCACCCAAGTACCCAACTTACAAAGGCCTTAAGGAAATGTTGAACTTGAGCCTAATGAAGTACCAGCAAAAAAAAGCCCTGTGGGGAAGGAATGACAGAAGATGAGGGACTGACAGAAACATCGGCCATTGTGAATATATAAGAATAACTCACTTTTAAACAAAAGCTATTAGAGAGATGCCAAGGCAATTTCTCCATCCCTACTGAATCAAGGGGGAAACTCAATGTCTGTTGGGGGAGGGATTCCCTTGAGACCACTGATAAAAAATAGCTTCTGAAGAGTTGGAAATGAGTTATTATTCCTTCACCTGAATGCTCTTCACACAGGTGTGACCAGTATTCCGAATAACTGAACTGTTCACTTATGTGTACCTGTTACAAGCATGTTATACATTAACAAAAATGTTTAGCAATTAAATAAAAAAGGAAATTAGAGATGGCTCAGTGGTTAAGAACACTGGCTGTTCTTGCAGAAGACCCAGGTTCAAATCCCAGCACCCACATGGCAGCTAACAACTGTCCATAACTCCAGTTCCAGGGGATTCAACAGCCTCTTCTGTCCTCCACGGGCATTGCACGACATGGGTGCACTTACCTACATGCAGGCAATACACACATACACATAAAAATAACAAATAATTTTTTTTAAAAAAAGAAAATTCAGTAACAGACTTTTGGGCTAAAGGTAAGAACTTTAAAGCAATCAGGAGCTCTAAATACTAAAGGAAAGCTGGTCTGAGAAAAGGGGAGGAATCTTTAGGAAATTCTAGAGGCTATGGTTCGACAAAAATAAAATAAACACTAAAATATGTCTTACGTTTGGGACCTCAGTGTGGGGCTTCTTGATTAAGGCTGTCCTGTTCTTCCTTTGCAGATCTTTTACTATTCAACCAGCATTTTTCAGACAGCTGGGGTCAGCCAACCTGTGTATGCAACCATTGGAGTTGGTGCCATCAACATGATTTTCACTGCAGTCTCAGTAAGTCAGTGCTAGATAGGCACTCCTTGTTCCTTGCTTGTTCCTTGGTCCAGGAGTGGAAGGGGGTGGGGGACAATGACTTAAGATGAGACTGATCAGTGACTGTGTTCACATGCACTGTGAGTGTACAGCTGAGTGAATCATGGGGAAAGTCCTCTGAACACACCAGCCCTGAGGCTGAGGTGGTGAGTCACTGGTGCCCTCACTGGAGGGAAGAGAGTCACTCACGCATCTGGTGAATTAATAACTCACTAGGAAGCCTGTAAGACTTTCACTCTGTGAAAGTCCATAGAGTCCTTCTGTGTTTAGACTCCTTAGGCCTAACCAGCAGCTTCCCAATTCCATCACTACTGGATACTCTCCCTATATTTTTCACCCTCCTTCTTGAGGAAAACATTTACAAAGCTAATAGATGCCTAAGCTTTTAAACAGAATTAAAAAATTTGGCAAGTTCCTATGATGTTAGGTCATTGGGCAGAATTTTCAGGTAGTTCACATGTATGCAGCTTCCGGTGATGTACAGGAATATGTGTAATGTGTAAAGTCAGGGTAAAACTGTATAAAATTTGAAATTTTATTGTTTTACCAACAAAAGAAAGATTTATATACTCTTTCTCTTTAAAATATATTTCATTTATTATTTTTATTTTATGTATGTGAGTGTATTGCCTGCATGTATGTAAGTGCACCCATGCAGTGTGATGCCTGCAAAAGTCAGAAGAGGGCATCAGATCCCCTGGAACTGGAGTTATGACAGTTGCTAGCCACCATATGGGGGTTGGGATTCGAACTCAGGTCCTCTGCAAGAGTAGATAATGCACTTAATCACTGAGCCATCTCTCCAACCCTATATACTCTTTCTTAAAGCCAAGTATCATACCAATTTGATATCTTGACAACAAATTTAACGTAATGAAAAATAACAACAAAGGGCTAGAGAGATGGCTCAGCAGTTAAGAGTGCTGGTTGTTCTTGGAGAAGACCCAGGTTCGAATCCCAGAACCCACATGGCAGCTGACAACTGTCCATGACTCCAGTTCCAGGGGATCCAACAGCCTCTCTGTCCTCCAAGGGCATTGCATGACACAGGTGCACTTACCTATAAGCAGGCAATACATGCATACACATAAAATAAAAATAATAAAAAGATATTTAAAAAATAAAATAACAATAAAGACAAAAACTTCTCTATTATGAAAGTCACTCAAAATGAGACTAAATTGAATTATTTTTAACATTTAATGCAAACTATCCAAAATGATTTTGAGTTTTAATTGTGGCCACAAAACTATACTCAACTTATTTTGGTCACTTGTTTTTTATTCTCTGTACATAGACTTTTAACTATTACCTTTGGGTGGTCAATAAATTACAGCCTGTCTCCCCAGACCACATTAAACAGTGCTGGACCTTGCAGAGAGGAGGAAGAACAAACAGAATAGGCCCTCTGTCCTACAGAGTTTAGAGATAAAGGCCATTTCAATCAATAAAGGCCATTTCTGGGATATAATCCAAAGGACTCTATCCTTTGTGTCTTCTGGAATTTCTCTCTCTCTCTCTCTTTCTCAAAATATCATGATTTTTAAAAATAAATTTTATAAAATAGAGATTTTTTAATTAAAATATATTGCTTCTAATAAGATTTTCTTTATAAAGCATTAAGTCGTCTAGACTGGGTAACCCAAATTCTGAGAAGATCTAAAGTAGAAACTTCTGCAGAATTTCATTTCTGCACTCTGTACCCAACCTCATTTGAATGGGAGGAGCTGCCAACAGTGTCTTTGTTATTTTTAATATAGAGATTTTAGAGTTCATTCTTTTATTTTGCTAAAGTCCTAAAGTAGATGATTGATATAAAAATCAATTCTATCTCATTAATGCTTCACAATTATAGGTAATATTTAAAATTTTCAATTTAGTTTCTAAAAGCAGTGGTGATACACACCTGTGAGCCTAGCACTCAAGAGGCAGAGTCAGAGAGATCACAGGTCTGAGAATGGCTTGGTTTAAAATATCTTATTTGTATTAGTTTTATTTTATTTTATGTGTATGAGTGTATTGCCTGTATGTATGTGAGTGCACCCATGTCATGCAATGCCTGTGGAGGTCAGAAGAGGGTGTCAGTTCCCGTGGGACTAGAGTTACAGACAGTTGATAGCTGCAATGTAGGTACTGCAAACCAAACCCAGGTCCTCTGCAAAAGCAGCCAGTGCTCTTAACTGTTGAGCCATCTCTCCAGTCTCCAGCCCCTAGCCTGGTTTAGATAGCAACACCCTGTCTCAAACCAAACCAGGCCAAAACACAACAAAACATTATTTTATAGTTTCAAAAGCTTCTGAACTTTAAACAATGCTCAAATGGACATATATGCATATGAGCGTGCATTAATAATATATTATGTTCCACTAACTCATAGTCTAAGAGTTTCCCCCCCTCCTGAATGTTTGGGAAAATAGAGGCTTTCCCAAATATACGTTGAAAGATGTTCTAGATTCTATTTTCTTCCATACTAATAAGTTGATGGAAGAGAGCCTGTAATCTTGAGAAAGGAACAGAGCAAGTTGGAGGGGCCTGGGAGCAGGATGGCTCTGGGGAGGAAGCAGTGACTGCCCACCTCCAGTGAGGTACCAGGATCTGAGGGACACACATAGACTGGGGCAGAGATGAGGGCTGAGGTCCAGCAGAGGTCCCAATCCATGACCATGCTGGTCTTATGCATTGAGTACACACTAAGTCTCCAGAAGAGAATGCAGCTCAGTTTTCAAGGCATATTTTTAGTGTTTATTTTCCAGTTCATCATTTTTTTTTCAAACACAGAAAAAACAGATATAGTAAGAGCCCTTATTCCTGTAGAAATCTTCCTGTTTTCCTCATACCTTGACAATACAGCATCAAAGTCATGTATCACCCTGTCAGCTTTGAAAGTAATAAAGAGCCAACAATGTATAGGGATGTTTTATAAATTTGAAGGAAGGTTTTGGGGCTACCTTCTCAATAATTAAATGTGGGCTCTTGGATTGTCATCCTGGAGTCATTTGAAACTCTGGGATGAGTGCACCTATGAGATAGAAAAGCCTCCACTGCAGGTGAAGATAAATGCTCCTCAGAAGTCCTCAGGTTCAGTGCTCAGCATGCTATGGGTGTTGCATGGCTGTTGACTTACTTAGATTGATGAGCCTAGCCAATCTACTCACCAAGGTGAGAAATTATACGTGTGTGTGTGTGTGTGTGTGTGTGTGTGTGTGTGTGTGTCCATGTCCATTCAAACATATAGGTATCAAAGCTATTTGCACTTGAAAAGCGACCCTTTTCATAGATATTGGGATATCATTCATGGCTTAAATTTCAAAGCTGAGTCTTAGAAAGGAAGAGGATGTGAACCTTGGTGTTTGGGTCTCTAGCTATCCACAGGAGAAGGGGTGGTAAGGAGGCCCAGTTGCCTGAGGGAACTTAAATGTGAAACCTTGGCTTTCAGGGGAGTAGTGATCAGATGGTTTACCTGGGGAATGTGGAATGGCAGCCCTCAGTGTGAGGGAGGCTCAGGGAGTGGATACTAGGGTGTCAACCTCTTGCCACTGAAGATTTTTGGAGATTAAGGAACTGATATAAGAGCCCTGTGACTTCTGAGAGGGAAAGCGGCATGCTCGTGATGGCCTAGGTCAGAACAGTGCTGGCCTGTGTAGAGGAGAGGTCGTCCTTGATGCAAGCTCCTGTGTAGGCCTGGGGTACTGCCCCACCCTCTGCTCTCAGTGCTCAAACTCACACACCCAGGAGCGGGTGATGTACGGGATAAACGACTCCTAAAATTATAACCCAGCAACTGCTTCAAATTGCTGTTTATCCAGCGGACTAAGTAGCAACAAGCTGAGGGAGTAGGGTACTCAGCAGCTGGGAAGCTGGCATTAAAGGTGTGAGCCACCACGCCCGGCCTGGAGTCATTTTTAATGTAGAGCATTCCCATTTTCAACACAGATGTAATCTATTAGAAGAGAGCTGAGAAGTGCACTCTCTCACTACTGACTCAAGGGGATGGCCCAAGAGTGGCAGGAACATTCTGGTCTGTCTTAAGACTGAACTCTTGGAGTCAATGTCATTATATTAAACTGGCATTTAATTACCATAGTTTACTGAGGTGAGCACCACCACCAGAAGCAAGTTGCACTCGTCACCTCTGTCTCACATTTGTAAAATAGGACCACAGTGCTGCCTCCCTTCCCCATCCCATGGCTCATAATACTGAAATGCTGTTTGTTAAACATCCTAGGTACTGCTTGTGGAGAAGGCAGGACGGCGCTCTCTGTTTCTGGCTGGAATGGTGGGAATGTTTTTCTGCGCCATCTTTATGTCTGTGGGACTTGTGCTGCTGGTAAGTTTGGTGCTTGGACTGGTATTTTTGGTTACCATATGCAAACGTCTCTGTCCTCTGGTTTAAAGGTTCTGTGTCACAGACACTTGCGACTGGGTTGTGAAATAAAGGCAGAGGAACAGTGGAGAAGAAATGTAAAGGAAAAGGGAACTCTGTTCTTGGGTGTACAGACAAGTATCTGCATGTTACTTGGGGTTGTTATCTGTAGACAGCTGTGGGTGTGACCAGAGGCACTTACCCGAACCTTAGCGTCTCATCCAGCTTCACTCGAAGTCTCACGCTTTGACCAGACACCCTGGTTTGGGAACTAGCAGAAGAGTCTAGATCTTTTTCTTGCCTTTCTCAGGAAAACAGTGACTCCCACTTTTGTTTCTCCCTCTTCAGGATAAGTTCTCTTGGATGAGTTACGTGAGCATGACAGCCATCTTCCTCTTCGTCAGTTTCTTTGAGATTGGTCCAGGCCCCATCCCCTGGTTCATGGTGGCTGAGTTCTTCAGCCAAGGCCCCCGGCCCACGGCCCTGGCATTAGCCGCCTTCAGCAACTGGGTCTGCAACTTCATCATCGCGCTGTGTTTCCAGTACATCGCGGTGAGCGCCCCCGCTGTGCAAAGTGCAAACTGCCCTGCAGAAGGCTGTGCTGAACAGGTCTAACTGGAACTCTGTTCTCTCCCCAGGACCTCTGTGGGCCTTATGTGTTCTTCCTCTTCGCTGGGGTGGTCCTGGCCTTCACCCTGTTTACATTTTTTAAAGTTCCAGAAACCAAAGGAAAGTCTTTTGAAGAAATTGCTGCAGAATTCCGAAAGAAGAGTGGTTCGGCCCCTCGAGCGAAAGCTGCATTGCAAATGGAACTGCTTTGAGCGTCAGCCTCCGCCTGAAGATGACCCGGCGGAAACACAGCAGCCAAACGGGGGCGGGCGGGGAGGGGGGGACCGCTGCTCTTAGCCGATTCCTTCAGACGTTCATACCCACATACTAGAGGACTGTCTTGTATTTTGAAGAATTCTATGTATGGACTCTGATCAGAAACGTCAACAAAGATTACTAAAGAAAGTATTTTTGTAACTTGGAGAATCCACTTTTGTGGCAAAACTAAGCAAACCAAACCAAAGCGACTAGGTTGCAAAATTAAGCAAACCAAAGCGACTAGGTTGTTTTGCTACTTTTCTAAAGGAAAAGAACGCTAGAATCTTCCTAGCTCTATTCTTTATTGCAATATTCCGCTGAAGTTGACTGCTTTTAATGGATCATGCTTTTTAAAGTGTGTGACTAGGGAACCTGAAGAAATAGCTCTTTTTATATATTTAAATATGATGAAATTGGAATTTCTTACCCACAGATCTCATACACCAAGATGTATGGCTGGTGTCAGTTAAGATTCATGTCCGTATCCATTTTTCTGTTTCCCTTCCTCAGCCTTTTTCGTGTGTATTAGAGTTTGTATTTTGCTTAAAATTTTTATTTTTTCTGTATTTTCATATGAATATTTGAGTATATTAAATATATTTATGATGAAAAACTCAGTTACCAGGCTCTTCCAGTATTCAGAGAAAACATTTTAGTTTCTTTGTTTGATAGACTTTGCTAGATTGAAAAACCCAAAAGTTTTACCTAATCTGATAGCCTAGATTATCAGTTAATATTAACATCTATTCCAAAACCATACCGGATCTGTTTGTTGTGTTTACCTTGTTTTGCTTTTTAATTGAGCATAGCCTTTTTATCTGAGCTGTTATAAAATACACTAAACCATTAGGACTCAAGCATTTTGTATATTGCCTCCACACTCTAATAAATTGGATCAATTTAAAGAAAAATTGAGGTAAAAGATTGTCTCAAATGAAGCTGGAAAGGTAGAGCTTAAAAATTCCTCAGGATGGGCCCCTGAAACTTCACCAATGTTCAGTGTTGCACTTGATCAAAACCTCTAATTTCTCTGGAAACGCTGAGTTTCCTGATGTAGAGCAGTCGTCCCCTTCACCCTTTTTTCTTTGTCTTTACCATAGGAACCTTCTAACTACACCGTTCTATGCTGGCTCTAACTTGTGTTAGAATGCCAAGTGCCTTCTAAGTGCTGTCATCAATGTGGGCAAATTGGAAATACACAGATTAAACAGGCTTTGACTTTGCAGTGCAATATATAACTATGAACATACAGGTCTGATGGTTAGCGGGCAGCTACAGTTACCTCCTTCAGTTTCTCTCTGTAGTCTTCCTTGGCCTGGAACTACTATGTAGACCAGGCTGGGCTCAAGCTTGTGATTATCTCCCTGCCTCTGGGGCCGGTGCTGGCATTACAGTCCTGCACCACCATGTTTGGCCCTTTCTGGTTTGGGTTTTGTTGTTGTTGTTGCTGCTGCTGCTGCTGCTGTTATTTTTTGTTTTGTTTTTCTTGGTCAAAATTGTTCACACGTATACCTGCAGTACAAGCCAACATGAAATTAATTCTTTTTACTTTAATGTTTTCCTCCTTTGGGAAACAATTTGGGGGATTTTTTTTTTTAACTTGGAACTTCAGGAGTTGGGCAAAAGAAGTTTAAATAGTTCAATAGGTCTTTACGCTAGGCTACAGGTTTTGAACAGAACTGTAGATCTAGACTCTGAGTAGAGCAAGGGCTCTTACCCTGTGCTTCAGAATGCTGATGACCTTTGGGAAGTCTGAAACTCCAAATACTCTGATCCTGAAGTTTTCTGCCTCAGAGAAACTCATGTGATCCCTCATGTACTGCTGCATTTAACAAGATCCACAGATGTTCAAGGTCTTTAAGTTGAGCATCCTCCCATATACATCTTAAATCATCTCTAGATTATTTATAAGGCAATGTAAGCATTATACAAACTGGTTGCACTCTATTGTTTAGGTAATAATGAGAAAAATGTCTGTGCATGAAACTCAGTCTGATGGGAGCTGGAGAGATGGCTCAGTGGTAAAGAGTACTAGCTGCTCTTGTAGAAGACCTGGTGGCTAACAACCATCCATAACTCAAGTTCCAGGGAATCCGTCGCCCTCCGCAGGCTTGGTATGCATGGGTGCACTTACAAACATGCAAGCAAAGCAAAAACATAAAATAAAAATAAATTAACAAAACAAAAAACAGATCTGAGGATGCAGAACTCACCAATATCAGTGGTCAGCTCTGAGCATATGTTGAAGAAATATTAAAGGAAAAAAAGTGCAAATGAGGCTTTATACAAAGACCAAAGAAATAATTAGCATAAAAAGAAACATTTGGTCTTTAACAGTAAATGATAAAACCGTAACTATTTACATTCATTCTCAGGAAGATCAGATGTGAGTTTGAACATTTAATTTTCCAACTATCATTTTTGTGACAGTTGTTTTTACTCTTAAGATCTTTACAAATGTGTCTTTTCTCTGCTCTTGTCTGAAGTATGACCAGACTAGGGCTCTGTAATATGTGCTGAGATATAGTGAGACCTTGTGCCCCCACCCCCAACACATTACAGAGCTCACAGTCATTGGCAAGTTCAGAAAGGTCAGGGAATTAGTAACCCATACTTTCCGTGAACTGGGTTCACTGAAAATGGGCACAATATTATTTCCTACCTCAGGGAACTGTGGTAAGGATCAAATGTAAAGTTCTAATTATAGTGTCTGGGATAAAGATGACACTTGACAAATGTTACCTAGAATAATGTTCACAGGAACCACTAAGATAAAGATTATCATATGTTTTTCTTCCAAACAAAAGGTTTTAAGTTCAAGATAATATTTTCTTTCTTCAAGGGAAAAAAATTACAAAACAAGGCAATGATTAAAAAACAAGGGGAAATATTAAACTATCAAATCACTAAATCTAAATTTAATATTTCTAAATCTTCAAAAGTTGTTACCGTCTTTTTAAAATTTGCTTTTTGTCTAAGTAATGTTATATTAAGGGTTCTGTGTGTGATAGTCTTTCTTTGGATAATACTAAATATAAAATAAAAAATATATAATATTTAAACATAGTATAGACAACAGATTATAATCCCAGGATA